AGTATAAACTAAAGGAGGTGTCTAACTTTGGCTATGAACTTTCCTTAGAAAAGGAGGTTGTGTGGCTGCCAAGAGAGTAAATTCAGTCAGTTCAATAACCAAAGAAACACACCAGTTCTCCAGAGAGCATGGAACTTCATCAGGGGCCTTGTTCTCTCATGAGAAAAGGCTGAATCTACCTTTATCTGCACTTGAGAAATAGCGAGAAAAAGCTAGAAAAAACAGAGGCAGCTGCCCTCTTGGTTAACTTCCAGCCCTAGGGTTCTAGGAACCCCTCTAGAACAAAAGATGCTGGTATTAGTGCCAATGTCTTGCATGCACCATAGCCCAACTTTAGTACAGTCATCAAGTGTAATGCCAAGGCAGAGGATGAGTGGTACAGGGCTCATGACTGCTCCTTTTGGAGCTTATCCTGGTGTGTGAGTATAAATCCATCAGTATTGTTTTCCAGGTGGCTTCCCAACACCTTTCCTGAAAAGAGATACTATTTATTTCTTGATATTGATATAGGAATATAAAGTCAAATACATTTGTTTAATAGAATTGAAGAGAATCTAGAAACAAACACAGACACATGTGAAAATTTAGTGTTAGGTAAAGATGACATTTCGAGTCAGTGTTGAATGATGGATTACTCAACTTTACTGAAGTATAATTGAAGTATACTAAATTGCACATATTTAAAATATATAATTTGGTATGTTTTAACAAATGTATAGACTCACAAAGCCATCACCAAAATGAAGATAATGAATATACACATCACTCCTGAGAGTTTCCTTGTACCCTTGGTAATACTTCCTTCGTGGCCTTCCCCACCCCACCTCAGCACCATCCCAGACAAGAAATGGCCTACTTTCTGTCATTACAGATTAATGAGCATTTTCTAGAATTTTATATAAATAGAATCATACAGGTTGAACTTTTTTGTGAGGGAGAGGGAAGGCTGGCTTCTTTCATTTGGCATAATTATTTTGGGATTTGCCCAGGTTCTTATATGTATAATAGTTCATTCTTTTGTATTGCTGAGTAGTATTCTACTGTATGAATATATCAAATTTATTTTACCGTTCACTTATTGATGGACATTGGGTTGCTTCCAGGTTTTGGCTATGAACATGCATATACAAGTCTTTGTATGGACATAAGGCATGGCAATGTTAATATCAATGTATAATTCAAAGCAAAATGCATTAACTGGACAAGTGATCTTTATACTGATGATCTACCAAAAAGCAACTGATCAGAAGCCTTTAGATAAGCCTTCATGGCACCTTTCTATTGTTGTTAAACATCTATCCTGGACAAACGACCAGCCCAGAGGATTTTACAGGCAAGTTCTGCCAAGCTTTAAGGGAATGGGTACTGCCCACCACTTTCAAATGGTTCCAAAGCATAGGAAAAAATGATAAGCAGCTTCCAAATTAACTTTATGAGGCTAGCACAATCCAGTAGAAAACCTGATTAAGAGGCAATCTCCCTCCCACCAAAACTTCCATAACAACAAGCAGGGGGAGGGGATGCCTGTAGAATATGGCACAGGTTATATTTCAGTAGAACAAAGAGCATAATGAAGAAATCAACTGATAGCATTGATTAATGGAGTAACAAGATTATTTTTTACAAGAACTTTTTCAAAAATTATCATTCATCGTGATTTAAATAAATACACAAACCTCTTGTGAACCAAGAATAAAAGGGTATTCCCTCAACAGCATGATAAATAGGTCAGCTTGGACTTTGTTTCTTTGTATTGTTCAAAGGCTTTCACAATGATTTGTACATTCTCAGAAAACAAATGCATTTCTATTGGAAAATAAAAAGAGGAAGATCACCATGTAGAATAAATACAGATGGCAAACAGGCACCTGAAAAGGCTCCATATCACTAATCATGAGGGAAACACAAATCAAAACCACAGTGAGGTATCACCTCACACCAGTTAGTATGGCCACTATCCAAAAGACAGGAAATAACAAGTGTTCTCAAGGATGTGGCAAAAAGGGAACCCTCCTACACTGCTGGTGGTCATGTAAATTGGTGCATCCACTGTGGAAGACAGTATGGAGGTTCCTCAAAAAACTAAAAATAGAAGTACCATTCAACCCAGCAATTCCACTTCTAGGAATTTACCCCAGGAAAACAAATCCTTGATCTGAAAAGATACATGCACCCCTAAGTTTATTGCTGCATTATTTACAATAGCCAAAAAATGGAAGCAACCTAAGTGTCCAAAAATAGATGAATGGATAAAGATGTGGTACATATATAAATGGAATACTATTCAGCCATAAAAATAAAAGAAATTCTGTCAATTGCCAACAACATGGATGCAACTAGCGGGTATTATGCTCAGTGAAATAAGTCAGGTGGAGAAAGACAAATACCATATGATTTCACTTACTTGTGGACTATAAATAAAAAACAAAACAGAATAAAAAAAATAGCAGCAGACTCGTAGACACTGAGAAGGGACTGGTGATTACCATGGGGGAGGGGTTGTGGTGGGGTGATGCAGAAGAATAATGGGGCATAGTAATTCTCAATCATAATGTAGGTTGGTCACAGGGACAGTAGTATAGCATGGAGAATATAGCCAGTGATCCTCTAACAACTTTCTATGTTGACAAGATAGTAGCTGAACTAGTGAGGGTAAGGATTTAATAATATGGGTAACTATTGAACCACTGTGTCGTACACTTGAAACTAAAATAAGACTGTATATCAATTTTTTTAAAAAGATACATCATCTGATCTGCCATTTTTAAGCCAATGCCTCTAGAAATTCCTTGTTCTTTTTTTACATTAGGTGAAATACCAGTATAATGTAAATATACAGAAACTATAACCATTTATTTAACTACATTATTAGGCAAAATTATTCCTTTATTTAGATTTTATTATTTACACTTACTTTTTTATCTATACATTTAGAGGACTTTACAAGCACTATTAGACATTCCATAAAGGTGGGTGGATAAAAGAGGTAATTATAAAAGGAAAAAATACAGATGACTAAAGAACCATGTTTTGAGACTTAATTTATAATGCAACTAATAATTATTCCATGCTACATTAATCTATTTGCTGCTATAACAAATTATTACTAACTCTGTAGCTTAAACAACATAAATTTCATTATCTATGGTTCTATATGTTTCAAATTCAAGGTCCCAGCAGAGCAGCATTCCTTTCTGGAGGTTTTCCTTGCCTTGTCCATTTTCTTTAGGCCACCTGCATTCCTTGGTTCATGGCCCCTTCCTCCCTCAAAGGCAGTAAAGGTGGGTCAAATCCTTCTTACATTGAATCATTCTGACCTCCTCTTTTATTCCTTCTCCCTTTTAAGGAACCTTATGATAATGCTAGGCCCAGTCCAATAAACTAGGATAATCTCTCCATCTCAAGGTTCTTAATTTAATCACATCTGTGGGGTCCTTTTACAATGTAGCATAACATATTCACAATTAAGACATTGACATCTTTGGGTGGCCATTATTCTGCCTATCACAGTTGCCCTTGTCTTCAAAGAAATAAGAACATATGCATATAAATTGAACTTAAGTGGGTGAGGGTAGGGGAAGAATACTATTGGTTTAAACGGAGAATAAATTTGGGATGAAAAATCCCTCCTTTGTTTTGTCAGATTTTTATTGACCTTCTATTCTGAAGATGAACCGTATTTAGATACATGGGAAATAACAGAAGAAATGTTTCCATCAAAACCATCAGAGGAAATACAACTATCTAAATGAATCTGTCAAGTTTTTAATCTGAACAGAAACCCAAAAAAGCTTATTTTGTACTTTCTTTCTATACATTGTTGTTTTGGCACACAGCATCCACAGCCTATATCAAATAATCAGGTGTTTTATTAATTCAAACTAGAGAAAAGATCACTGGGAAGACTATACTTGACCATACTGACCATGAGTTTTTATGAACCTTTCTAAACAAAATATCCAAAGGGTCATTATATATGTATATACATGGTTAAGAAATCAAACATCTCCGTTTGAAAGGCCCAAATTCAAAATGAAATGATATTCCTACATTATAAGATGGACTTTTTTAATTCCCCAGAACAATGTTCTATCCAATGTTTAACTTTCTCAGTTCAGTTTTATATCTTTTTTGACTTGAGATAAAAAGAGCCAGGTTTGAAGTACTAAAGTTATACCCAGCTTTTACTAGTTCTTTGATTCAACTTTTAAAAGTATTTATGCTTGAATTGAAAATCCTTAGATTTTCAATTATTTGTGACATGCTAATTTTTTCCTATCTCAAGGTTCTTAATTTAATCACATCTGTGGGGTCCTTTTACAATGTAGCATAACATATTCACAATTAAGACATTGACATCTTTGGGTGGCCATTATTCTGCCTATCACAGTTGCCCTTGTCTTCAAAGAAATAAGAACATATGCATATAAATTGAACTTAAGTGGGTGAGGGTAGGGGAAGAATACTATTGGTTTAAACGGAGAATAAATTTGGGATGAAAAATCCCTCCTTTGTTTTGTCAGATTTTTATTGACCTTCTATTCTGAAGATGAACCGTATTTAGATACATGGGAAATAACAGAAGAAATGTTTCCATCAAAACCATCAGAGGAAATACAACTATCTAAATGAATCTGTCAAGTTTTTAATCTGAACAGAAACCCAAAAAAGCTTATTTTGTACTTTCTTTCTATACATTGTTGTTTTGGCACACAGCATCCACAGCCTATATCAAATAATCAGGTGTTTTATTAATTCAAACTAGAGAAAAGATCACTGGGAAGACTATACTTGACCATACTGACCATGAGTTTTTATGAACCTTTCTAAACAAAATATCCAAAGGGTCATTATATATGTATATACATGGTTAAGAAATCAAACATCTCCGTTTGAAAGGCCCAAATTCAAAATGAAATGATATTCCTACATTATAAGATGGACTTTTTTAATTCCCCAGAACAATGTTCTATCCAATGTTTAACTTTCTCAGTTCAGTTTTATCTTTTTTGACTTGAGATAAAAAGAGCCAGGTTTGAAGTACTAAAGTTATACCCAGCTTTTACTAGTTCTTTGATTCAACTTTTAAAAGTATTTATGCTTGAATTGAAAATCCTTAGATTTTCAATTATTTGTGACATGCTAATTTTTTCCTCTACGAGGCAGTCTATTTTATTGTTAAACTTTTTCTTTCCCAAGAAGATCCTATCTGGATAACTCAAAATATGCTTCTGTACCTCTTCTTTACTACACCCAAGAGAAAACAGCTTCTCTTTGATACTTGTGTAGCTTCTTCTGACATAGTCATTGGAAAGGTCTGCGAGTTCAGCTCCTGGACCACCTATCAGAACGAGCAGCTCCTCATTGTTCAAGTTGAAAGTTGACTATAAAAACTCACTGTTAATTTTTACCCATTTGGTGCTCTGAATTAAGATGTAAGGATTTTTTTTAAGTATTTTCTTGACAAAATCTGGGGGTTCATTGTCAAGTCATGACAAAGAGACTCCCTCGAAAAGTTCAATCATCTGCTTATTCAGATCAAGACTGTAGGAGAAGGAACATGGGGCATTGGTCAACAATCCACAAGGCACTTTAAGGGTCAATCCAACTGAGTAAAGGAGGAACTGAGTAGAGGAACTTTATATTATTCTCTAAGTTTAGTTTGTTATTGAACCAAACAAAGGAGTCAGGAGAATGTTTCAAAATACTGACAATTTCAGGGTGATGTCACAACTCTTCTCCACAGATCCCACCATTTTGAAAGACTTTCAGGTGTGTGTTATGGCTCGTGGATATCTTGACATGATCCTAGCAATCATTTTTTTGCTAGCTCCTTCAGACAGAAGGGACATCTTCACATACTGCTCCCTAGTACTTGTCCCATTAAAAACTCCAGGCTGTCTTTTCTTTGCCATGTCAATATCTACTCCCATGGTGAGCATGTACTTCAGTAGTTCTTCATTCTTAAAACTCACTGTCTGCACTACCACACTTCACACCAAAAGCCTAAATGTAATTGATATAAAGAGGATTTCTGCTGTAAATAGTGTCATTCAACATCTTGAACCAAAGAGAAAATTACTTCTTGTACACAAGAGGGCCCTAGTGTTCAGGTAGCCCAAACCTTTTGGAATGCTGTGTAAAACAACATATATAGTATTATGAAAATGCAAGTGTTAAACAGCTAGACCACCATATTATAATTTTATAAGCATCACAGTCATTTCTATAAGAAAATACCAGTATCTCTTGGTGCTACGATAACAATCCAGCCACCGCACTCCCACTCCCTAGTTCACTGCTTCTGATTATCTGTGGGCCAAGGGCTACTTCCACTCTTAACACGAAGAGAAGCAGTATATGGTATCACCACTGCTCCAGAATTATTCCTGTTCATCTTTTGTCCTTTTTATTTGGCTTTGCCTTTTTGGCTACCCAGAACCAGTTGCCCCTCTCCATCTCTGCTTTACCTTCCTGGTTTCCAAACCTTTGGCTTTTTCCACTGATGCTCTCAGTTCTGCCTTGTCTTCTAATTTCTCAGATCTTTGACCTTGCCTTAGTCCTTTCTGGTCACCAAACTCTAAATCTAGCCCTGAAAACTAACACTTCAGACTACCCAATTTCCACCTTAAACATCTCTTTCTAGATCATGGTACTCTTTAAACCATACTATCATAGAGCCTTAATTCTTAGTTATATAAACATCTGGTCAACAACTCCTAATCCTAAACTCCATCTCACTCAATTTACCCTACTGTCCCCTTGGTTGTAACCCAACAACTCCAAACCAATTTCACTTTCAAAATAACATAATTGGGATATTTAATCCACATAGCACAACACATGTGTAACTGTGAGGACAGGTAGCACATAAAATTAAAAGGTCACTTTACCATTCTTCTCCACCCTACCACATCACAAAAGATTAACCCAGGGTTCTCTGCATGTTTCATAACATACATAATTTCAAGCAAGTGACTAAAAACTTGATAACTCATTTTCCTGATCATTTAGAAATGGAGCACAAAATGTATGAATTTACATATGATGTTAATCATAGGTCACTATTAAAATGAGTATCTCCATTCATAAGAAATATTTTATGAGGCAAGCAACAAAAAAACTTTCTGCTGTTTTCAACTTGTCAGATGATTTACATTCCTAAACTATTTGTGAACTGAGTCATACAACATATACATACTTTAACTGTACTTTCTCTTTTTCATACTATACAGCAGCGACAAACTTAGTTCTTGACTTCTAATTACTTACAATGTGGTCTTCTCACTTAAAGGAGGCATTTCCATTCTCCCCTCTCCTAATAAGCATAAAATAGAAAACAGAGCTAGAGGCTCCAACTCACCACTAATCTCTGGGCTTGGTATACTTCAAAGTCAATATTAAAGAAGCCTCCCTGTCTATCCTTTTATCCTTTTAATTACTCCAATTTAACAAGAATTTAGATTATCCTAGAGGCTGGGAAAAATCCTATAGCTCAGATAATCTACATAAATCTTCAAAGAATTGGGAAAAAATTCCAAAAGTATAGAATCGAATAACAATCGAACAAAAATGGAAGAGACTCACAAAATAAATATTCAACAACTACAGCACATTTTAGATTGCCCTATTCTCTGAGTTGACTATTCTTCACTTTTCTGTAATAGTACATACTACTCTGTAACTACATACCCTTCCAAAAATACATGAATTTAGAAATTTAAAAATAAGATCCTCCTTTGAACTAAAGAATAAAGGGTCTTCCTCCCACAGCTCAACAATCTGTTGTCTTCCAGGTGCTCAAGGGTGACCTCTACTGGAAAATGGGACAGAATACTAACAGCTGTTGATTAGACTCATGCTTTCAGAGTGCAAGATGATCCAGTGGGATACAAGAAGAAAATAGTAGAACTCCTATTTATTTTTGTCTTAGCCTTTTAAAATTTCCACTTTTCATATGTATTTTACAATGCATTCAATATATCATAAGGCATGTATAATCAGTAAATGAATATATATATGTATTTGAGATACACATACAAAGCTTTATGAGAGGATAATCAAAAAATATGAAGACCACTACTCTAGACTACAAACTTCCTTGAGATTATTAGCACCATGACAAACAGATCTGTAGCACAAGCCACAGAAAGTTCAAAAGAAATTCTGATGACAGACTAAAAGTGAAAATATATGCCAAATCTCTTTTTTTAAGTATGTTTTTCATTGAAGTGTATGATATACAATATACTGGTTTCAAGTATACAACACATTTGTTCAATAGTTATACACATTATTAAATCCTCACCCCAAATAATGTAGTTACCATCAACATAGAAAGATGTTAGAGAATCATTGGCTATATTCTCTACGCTGCACTTCCATCCCCTTGACCAACTTATATTATGATTGAGAATTTCTGTGCCCTTTTAACTTCGCAGGCACCTACTCAAACCCCTCCCCCATGGTAACCACCAGTCACTTTTCAGTGTCTGTGAGTCTATAGCTATTTTGTTCATTTTGTTTTGTTTTTACATTCCACAAATTAGTGAAATCATATGGTATTTGTCTTTCTCCACCTAGCTTATTTCACTTAGCCTAATACCGTCTAGGTCCCTGTTATTGCAAATGGAAGGATTTTTCTTTTTAATGGCTGAATAATATTCCACTGTGTATATGCACCACATCTTCTTTATCTACTCATCTATTGATGGACATTTAGGTTAATTCTGTATCTTGGCTATTGTAAATAATGCCTCAATAAACATAGTGGTGCATATATCTTTCTGAATCAGAGATTTTGTTTTCTTCAGAAAATTCCAAGAAGTGCAGTTAGTGGGTCATATGATATTTCTGTTTTAGTTTTTTGAGAACCCTCCATACTGTTTTTCTATAGCAGCTGCAGCGATTTACATTCCCACCAAGAGTGTAAGAGGGTTCCCTTTTCTTCACATCCTTGCCAGCATTTATTTCTTGTCAACTGGTGTGAGGTGATATCTCATTGTGATTTTGCCTTACATTTCCCTGGTGATTAGTGATGTGAAGCATCTTTTCATGTTGGTGCCTGTTGATGATCTATATTTCTTCTTTGGAAAAATGTGTTCAGAATCTCTGCCTTTTTTGTTGTTGTTGTTGTTGTTGTTGTTGTTATTAATCTACAATTACATGAAGAACATTATGTTTACTAGGCTCCCCGCTTTACCAAGTCCCCCCCACAAACCCCATTACAGTCACTGTCCATCAGTGTAGTAAGAGGCTGTAGAATCACTACTTGTCTTCTCTGTATTGTACAGCTCTCCCCATGGCACACCCCCCACCAACATTATACATGCTAATCGTAATGCCCGCTTTCTTTTTCCCCGCCCTTATCCCTTCCTTCCCATACATCCTCCCCAGTCCCTTTCCTTTTGGTAACTGTTAGTCCATTCTTGGGTTCTGTGATTCTGCTGCTGTTTTGTTTCTTCAGTTTTTCTTTGTTCTTATACTCCACATATGAGTGAAATCATTTGGTACTTGTCTTTCTCTGCCTGGCTTATTTCACTGAGCATAATACCCTCTAGCTCCACCCATGTTGTTGCAAATGGTAGGATTTGTTTTATTCTTATGGCTGAATAATATTCCATTGTGTATATGTACCATATCTAAACTCTCAACAAAATGGGCATAGAGGGCAAATACCTCAACATAATAAAGGCCATATATGATAAACCCACAGCCAACATCATACTGAACAGTGAGAAGCTGAAAGCTTTTCCTCTGAGATTGGGAAGAAGACAGGGATGCCCACTCTCCCCACTGTTATTCAACATAGTACTGGAGGTCCTAGACATGGCAATTAGAACAAAACAAAGAAATACAAGGAATCCAGATTGGTAAAGAAGAAGTCAAACTGTCACTATTTGCAGATGACATGATATTGTACATAAAAAACCCTAAAGAATCCACTCCAAAACTACTAGAACTAATACCGGAATTCAGCAAAGTTGCAGGATACAAAATTAGCACACAGAAATCTGTGGCTTTCCTATACACTAACAATGAACTAATATAAAGAGAAATCAGGAAAACAGTTTCATTCACAACTGCACCAAAAAGAATAAAATACCTAGGAATAAACCTAACCAAGGAAGTGAAAGACCTATACCCTGAAAACTACAAGACACTCTTAAGAGAAATTAAAGAGGACACTAACAAATTGAAACTCATCCCATGCTCTTGGCTAGGAAGAATTAATATCGTCAAAATGGCCATCCTGCCCTCTGCCTACTTTTTAATCGGGCTTTTTTTGGTGTTGAAGCATATAAGTCTTTATATATTTTCCATGTTAACCTCTTCATATGCCAAATTTCTTAACAAAAGAGTAATAAATCTATTAAAGTTTCTCCTAAATCTGTCATAGATCGATTTCATGTCTTTGTGTATAATTCACTCTCCATGGAAACATCTTTCACACAAATCAACATGTCTAAAACCAAACAGAGCATTCCTTCCTTCCCCAGAAGCAGCCTTCCTCTGATTAATGGAATCACTATCAGTATCCTCATAGCCACTCATAACAAACATCTAAAGGTGAGCTGTGCTTTCTTCCTCTTCCAGGATCCACTTGCTGAATCATGTCAATTTAGTCACCTCAGTATCTCTGAAATGCAACTTCTCTACTGTTATTCTCTCACACAGGTTACAACAGTCACCTAACTTGCCTATCACTCCAAACTGCCACCATAGTATATTTGTGAAACAAAGATGTGGTATATCCCTTATTTTCTGATTAAAGACTTCTAAAGTTCTTCCCTAGAAGCATAATCTTCAGACTGACCTTCAAAGCTCTCACCATACAGTTCCAACTACCCTTCTAGCTATCTTTTCTGTTACACAACCTCAAAAACAGGCACTATTGCCTCTAAAACCTCTGATTCTAAACATTATTGTCCATTCTTTTCTCCCTGCCTTTATATAAGCTATTCTGTCTTTCAGAAAGGCTCATCATCCTGATACCTGTCCATATAGCAAAAGGTCCTGTTCAAATACTATCTTCCTACAAATCTTTAACTGAATAATGTCATGTTGAAGTGAATCATTTCTTTTATAACTTATTAGTCAGGAATCTACAACTAAATATTCTATTTATATAGGAGAAAAGAGTTAAACTGGACTTATAAGTGACAACTAAAATTTGGTTTTGATAATACTATAAATGCGATGAAGTGACTCCCAAAAAAGTGGTGAGTGGTCTCACCTAAGCCTAAAAACAATGGTAACTAATATCAAGTCTTGGTGTGCATAGGAGAAAATGGGAGAAATTATCAAATACCACTGTTGCAAGGAAATTTGACACCACTCATCATATCCTTTAACCCAGCATTTCCACTTCTTGGAGATGATCCAAAGGAAACGAAATGACAAAGTACACATTTATTATGAAAAGGGATGACCATCATACCATTATTTGCTATTGCAAAAAAGAAACAAAAATAGCCACCAGTAGAGTGATGATAAACTGTGACACATTTATGGAATATAATATTATACAGCCTGATTTTTTTTAAAAAGGCAGATTTAACACAACAGAAAGATGTGCAAGATTTTTCAAGTGGGAAACGCATAACAGTATGGATACCATAATACCATGTATGTAAAGGGAGGACATTCATACATAAAGGGCAAAAAAATGGAATGTTAGTTCTCTCTCAGACATTAGCAGAGGTTGGGAAATATTTCTAAAATATTGTGATATTATTTAATGAATATGTGCTGCTTTGCGAATAGACAAGAAATTTAAAAATTACATTGGCCTAGAGGTACAAAAAAGTAACGGAAAATATGTCACCTTCATTGATTTTCTAGTTTTCAACAAAAAAAATCACACCTGGAAAATATCAAGATTTTACTGTCTTAGCACATGATCCCCATTCGAAACACTCCTATAATATCTTGCAAGGTGAATATTTGCAATCTTATGTAAGAAGTATCAACTGCCTCTGTCCACAAATTTCAAAAATATTCTATAATTTCAATGTCTTTCAAATACAATCTGTACTTCAAATCTGTCTTTTTAATTAATCAAAACCATCATATCAAATGTCAAAGTCCAAAGTTAACAAATGCACTAAAAATCTCTGTACTTGTAACTTGTGAGCTCTAAGGAGTAAAAGGGTATTTACTTTTTGATTCACAAGTCACCTGATAAAGGGACTTTCAATGCAAATAGCTAATCACTGGCACCAGTGTACATTCCAACTGGACTTCTTAATAGGCAATACAAGCTAAGTTTGGAGATCTTTACAGCGATGCATTTCTCACCTCATTT